TATAAATTAATTCCTAACTAGGAGGCACTGCCACCTTTGCTGGAATTAATCTATATTTTCCTTTATATGACTTCTTGAATTTTGATATTTACATGATGACTTTTTATGATTTATAAGTTACGAATGTGAATCTTCTACCTTTTGATATTTGAAGGAATTATTTTATTCATTAAAGTTGTTATTAAATTATGAAAGGTTTTATTTACTCAAAAAGAAAAAAAGCAGAACGGCCCGTTCTAAAAATAGAACGGCCCGTTCTGGAGTTCACTTTTACACAGATTGACCATAAAGAGAACGGCCCGTTTCCAACTTAACTTTTTAGGCATTTTTCTTACTCTGGAACGGCCCGTTTCACTTTGGGAACGGCCCGTTCCGGAAAAACCCAAATAGACCTTTTTACATATTTGGAACGACCCGTACCGCTTTTGGAACGGCCCGTTCTGCCACTTCAAAAATAGTATATTTTCTTCGTGTGAAACGGCCCGTTCCACTTTTGGAACAGCCCGTTCCACTTTTGGAACAGCCCGTTCCGGCGTAAAAAATAGAATTTTATAAAAAATTTCATAAATAATTTTAAATTATTACAAACCTCTATAAAAACCATTTTAATTAACTAAAATAACTATACAAAATAATCTTCATAAATTTATAAAAATAGATAATAATTGATATTGCAATAATAGAAATTCCAGGGTGTTACAATCATGTTCCTAAAAAAATATGTAATTCAGAAACTGAAAACTATTAATGTGTAAGTAAAACAACAAAAAATAATTCATAAATTAAGTGATGCATTTTACAAAAACATAACTAAGTTAAACATAAACAAATTCAACAAAACTATATCACCAAATTCAACTATGTGATTCACAAATACAAAACCAAATCACATATAACCATATAAACAAACAAAACACCAAATGAAATCTCCTGATGAGCATGCAAAAACACTAAATAGACTAAAACAATAGAATCAATCGAAAAACAACAAACGAATGAACCACATAGGTAACAATGTCCAGTTTTGTAAACAACTAAAAAAATACCAGCAAAATGGACATAGATCTATTGCATGCTTCCATGCTCACTGAGATTGAAACACCATATTCACAAATAAAACCCTGAACATTCGCAAATAGGATCAATAAACACACCACCAAAATGGAAAAAGATCTATTGCATGTCACAAACAGAATATCCCAAATGACGAAGACATCGATGAATACACAAAACCCCTTCAAATGGGGTTGCGAAACCCCAAAAGACGAACACACCGACAAACTAACTAACGAAATCCGAACCTCAGTTGAAACCCTAAAACCTTTTACTGAAATAAACATGCATTTCATACTTTCTAATTAACAAACTTCAAAAGAAATCCCCTTTTGAAGAGTAACCTCATACAAATAAAGCACAAACCTAATTTGGAAGATGATATGATAAAAATGAAGCAAACACAGTAATAGAAAGAAAATGACTAACGAAATGTGGTATGTGGAACGGAGGGTACACGGTGAACCTTCTTTGATGGAGCTTTTGGTAGGGAGAGTAGGTTTTAGAGCACCGGAGCCAGAGATGCGGTAGAGAGAAGAGGAAAAATGAAAATGAAATGGGTAGGGAGATGAAGAAAATAAAACATATTTAAATAGGCTGAGGGTTGTGACACCCTCTAAATGTGACACCCTCTACCCCATCATTAATACACAATAAACGTAAACAACAATTAAATTTTTCTTTTTCTTTTTCTTTTTGAGTAAATAAAACCTTTCATAATTTAATAACAACTTTAATGAATAAAATAATTCCTTCAAATATCAAAAGGTAGAAGATTCACATTCGTAACTTATAAATCATAAAAAGTCATCATGTAAATATCAAAATTCAAGAAGTCATATAAAGGAAAATATAGATTAATTCCAGCAAAGGTGGCAGTGCCTCCTAGTTAGGAATTAATTTATAACTTTCAAGCTTTTCAACGGTTAAGGATAATACTTCCTCTTTTCACCATCCGGATATGCAAATCTCTACACGTTAGTCTACGTCCTGATTAGGGATGGGAAGGAATAAGAGGGATGTATTAGATTAGGATTTTAAATGATTTTTTTAGTTAAATTTTTTTTATAGATTTTAAAAGATTTTGCAGGATTTTTATGATTTTTAAAATTTTATAGGATTCTACAAGACTTAAAATAAGGATTTTAATGGATTCTGCAAGACTCTTAAAACAAGATTTTAATGGATTCTGTGGGATTTTGTAGAATTTTCGTGAATTTTTGACATTTGATAAGATTTTAAAAAAAAAATCATACATTTAAATTTAAAAAGAGTCAAAGATAAAAATAATAAAAAATAACAATGTCTAGATAAATAATAATAATAATAATTCTCCATAATATCCTATCCTCTTAAATAACATTCATCTACATATCCATAGTTATACTAGTCCTCCAAGCATTAGCGTCTTCTCGCTCTTGCTCCTGGGTTTGAATAATAGGCTCAAAAATATGATTTTCATTAACCGGTAACGTTGAAGATGAAGGTTCATCCACTGCTTCAATTGAAAATTCATCAGAACGACATTCTTTACGTAGAAAGTTATGTAGTGCTGCACATACTAACACAAGTTCTACTTATGTCTTAAATAAAAATGGAGGTGCTGACTTAAAAATTGTGAACCTTGATTTAAAAATACCAAATATTCTCTCGATCACATTCCTTAAAGACGCATGACGAAAATTGAACAATTCTTTCTCATTTTCAGGTTCATTACCCTGACCTGCAAAATCTTGTAGATAATATCTTACACCTCGAAATGGAGTTAAAAATTGGCGTTGATTAGGAAATCCACAATCCACTAAAAAATATTTACCTAATTACATATGCAATATATATAATATTAGATACTGCAATGTCTTATATTAATTTTCTTTTTTTAAAATATAAAAAAAATCCTAATTTCACAATATAAAAAGAAAAAGAAAAATTCATATTAAAAAAAATATATTATAGATTATGATATAAATTTCATCTTTCATCTTTTCCTTTTCTTGACGTGTGTTATAAAAAAAATTACCACTTAAAAGTTGAAATTTCAAGCATTTTTTTGTTATATAATGGAACAAATTCAACTACATAGAATAAAATAAAGCAAGTCAATTAAAGAGAACAAACAGAAAAATAGAGCAAGTCAATGACACTATCATTTACATATAAGAGTTTCATAAAATAGGAGAATGGAATGAGAACAGTACTACAATATTATATATGAGCAATGAAGTGCAGTATTATTAGCAGAAAAAAATGGAGAAGATAGGAGCATAAAAAAAAATGAAAAAACTCACTTGAAAATTCTTGAAACACTTGAAAAGTCACTTCAAACAATCCTTCAAAATCTGATGGGTTTGGATGTGATTGTTTTATGAATTTGATATTTATAGATAACACTAGAAAGTCCTTCAAAATCCATCTCACACAACAATCTTTTAAAATCCTTATATTTTTGAATACCAATGGATTGTTTTTAAGTTGTAAAAAATCTCAAATGAATACCAGTGGATTTTAATGGACTCTTTAAAAAATCTTGAAAATCTGGATTGAATACCACTGGATTGTTTTTAAGTGACATAAAATCTTGATTGAATATCAATAAACTCTTTTACTCAAAAAAAAAATCTTTTAAAATCCTACAAAATCCAAAATCAATACACCCCTAAGTCTTGTCACACATTAAATATATAAGTTAAGTCAGTTTTTCTAAAATTAAAGTTTTAAGTTAAATATATTATTTTTTTTAAAACAAAATAAAAAGTTCAACATATTATTTATTATGTGTTTTTCTTTTTTATAAGTTTAGAGTCAAATTTTTTACAAGTTTGTTCTAATCTATTAATTTATTTATAAATATATATACTATTTTTAAAAAAAAATTATGTGATAAAAAATAGTTTATTATTATTATTATTAAAATTTAATTTTTAAAAGAAAAAACTAATGTAAAAAGATCAATTTATACATATTCATGTGTAACAAATATATTCACGCACAATCTGTTTGATAAAAGAGGATAATTTTATGTATAAAAATATAATTTTTTAAATATTTATTGTATCCTATTTAAAATATTCTAAATAATCAATTATGATGACCAAGAAAAAGAATATGATGAAAATGCGACGGCTAATTTTTTTTATTTATTTTTTTATGAGTAAGAAAACGTATAAGTATAATGAAAATGTCAAACATATAGATATTTACTTTTTGATATTAAAAATTTATTTATTTAATTATATTATTAATATTTTAATATGCATATTAATTTTTATTATATTATATAACTAAATAGATTAACCTATTTAACTTAATTAACTTTTTAATAAGTTTAAATTTAACCTTTTAAATATATATATATATATATATATATATTTTTTTTTTTCTTTCTAAAAGTATAAACACACCGTTATATTAAATAAGTTAAAGGATAAGTTCCTTTTTAAAACCTTAACCTTTTTGATCATTCCGACATTTAATTAAATAAGTTAAAGGAAAAGTTTCTATTTAAAACCTTTTAACTATTCTCATTCCTAGTCCCGAAAGTCGTTTGCTTTTCTGATCTATACATTCTGGCGGCTGATTATAGCGGTTGTGGGGGCGATCCGTGTCACTAATTAATTAAGACTAGATATACACTTGCGTCACGCTAGTGCTTAACTTCAAAATTTAAACACACGACCAAAACTATCTCTCAGCAGTTAATTTACATGGTCATCAATCAGTAATTTTTTCTTCTTCTTTTTCATTGTATATCTTTTCTCCCATCACTCCATATTCCAATCCATTTGGAGTGGACTATCCTAACATTATTCATTCAGATATGACATCAATGGTGGCACCCATCATCATCGGGCTACAAATTCCAGGAAATTGGTGCAATGCGAAGAAGAAAATTGTAGACAAGGCAAATCCGAGGTTGAACTCCTCATGCAAGCCTAATGCATTGAACAATAAACGAAGATTTTCATTGTGGATTACTGCAAGTTCTGATTGTAGTCCTGGGGGAATGGAAAATGTGCCATTGATTCATCATGCACCAGACAAGCTTGCAAATGAAAGAACATTTCGAGGGAAGTTTGTGGAGGACACACTTGTTTATAGGCAGATTTTCCTTGTCGGGTCTTACCAAACTGGATCAGATAAAACTATCACCATGGAGGCACTCATGAATTTTCTTCAGGTTAGCTTAACAATTCTTGCATCATCAAACTTATATTATAGCTGAATATGTCATAATCACGTACATGTGTGTACCGTTTGCATATAAAGTTTTGACTATACAGTTTCATTAATTTGAAGTATTAATTGAAAAAAAAAAAAAAATACAATGCAATCTCCGAACCCCACAAATTAAACCAACATTGTTTTTTAATTTCAAATTATATAATAATATTTAATTAACCTATTGGAAGCCTTGTGAATTGAAGATCATATAATATTTGTATCAAACAAAAATTTTTGACATCACAATTTTTTATACCCCTTTAATGGCAAATTTGAGAGAGTAAATTTCAGTTTTACGTCTCTTTCACATCAATTTATACCAGAGTATAATTTAAAATATTGTGATGTCAAAATATAAGTGATAACATATCACCCAGCCCTTGCATGATAACATTAAATTAAAAGTAATAAAAAATGTTATATATATATATATATATATATATTTAAATCTAATAGAAAATATATTATTATAAAATAAATAAAACATAAGATAAAATAAATTCTTGTAATGAGAAAATAATGTATTTATAGGTACATATAAATTACGGAGGTGAACGGTAAGAAAACATTTAATGTATTAATTGAAAAATTAAAAAATAAAATA